TGTAGCTCCTTTTGGCAGGTAAAGGTGTGGTCGTGGACCTTCTTGATGACTGTTTCCAACTGTGCTACCATACCAGACATTTCAGGACGAATCACTGCCTTGTGGTAAGTCTTCGGCTAAGGATGGCTTTCAAAGGGCTCTGTACTGTCACGCGTGCAGTCCGCGGCCAAGAGTGAAACAGCTTAGTCTGCACTGCCAGCCTCTTTTGGGGAGGCCTGTCTGAAAGACCTTTAAGCCCGAAACACCTAAACCCCAAACCCCAAACCATATCATATGGTACCCTAGCATTCTGAAACTGCCTTGTTTGCATGGTCGGTGATCCGACTACTTGGAGGATCAAGGGACTTAGGAAGTATGGTTACAAGCACCTTAGGGCTATGAGTAATTATAAGTATAGTTCCCCAAATTTTAACCCTAGTTACTAGAAGCCATCACCCTAAACCCCAAACCCTAACCCTAGTTACTAGAAGCCATGGTTTAGGGTTTAGGGTTCGGTGTAGTATAGAAGCCTGATGAATCGCCAAAATTATTGCTCAGGGTTTTCCTATGGCGATGTTTGTATTAGTTTTGTATTCAAACATTGCCCCAAACTCTATTCTCGCTATGAGCAGTATTATTGCGCCTAAGCCAGTGAATTCAAAGCGGAAAGTGTCACAAGGAAGCGGAGAAGCCAAACGAAAGAACAGCAGCGAATCCATCCATTCGCTGCGCGGCTTGGGATGCCTGAAACGTTTCGCATGGTGACTGAAGCCCTCTCACTCGACATGGATCTTTCAGGACAATTTGCAAAGCTGCTTCTGGATGCCTGCGACGCTGACGTGGCCGCAGCCGCTTTCGCTGCAGTTGCAGACGATGGCACAGAAGCCGAAGTGCAAATCGAGGACCGGGATTCGCCTGCGACATGTTTCCGCATACTTTAGCCAGCCTGTGTTCAGTGTTTAGGGTTTCGGGTTCCGCAGCAAAGATTCGGGGAAGTCGCTGGCTGGCAACAGATTGGACAGAGTCACTTTGGATGGACGGCTCCTGCTATACAGCACCTCTAGTGGCGCGCGAGACCTTATGCCTTCAGCCCTAAACCCTGAACCCTAAACCCTAAACCACAACCCTTAAACCCTAAACACCTAAACCCTAAACCTAAACCTACCTGGGAGTTGGCTTCAGGAGCTCTCCTTGTTGCGGGAGAGCAAAGGCGATGTCAACGACTTCGCAGTCTCAGGCCGAACCAGCTTTTCGATAAGGCCGAGTGTGGGTCTAGCGTTGTGCCTAAACCCTAAACCCTAATTAATGGGTATCTTGTGGTTTGCTCGCGTTTTTTTGTGTTTTCTTTCTCTGCTTGGGGAGTGGCGCTGGGGCCCGACCCAGATATGGTTGATGATATGAATCCTGCATTACCTTAAGGACCCGAAGCTATGGGAATTATGGTTTAGGGTCTAGGGTTTAGGGTTTAGAGTTTAGAGTTTAGGGCCTGAAGGGCAATGCAGGATTTGTATCATCAACCATACTTTGGACACTCAGTCGGTCATCGGGAGGCAGGCAGGAAGGCTGGCTACCCTGGCGGTCCATCCACTCCCGTTGCCGGTGTGCTCGCAAGTGCCGCAACGTTCTGAGCTGCGCTCGCGTGAGCAGTCTCGTGATGCTGTGGGTTGTGTGAGCGCTTTCGGAGTTTGCTAGCCGCTACTTGCGACAGCAAGCCCCGGCACTTGGGCGCGAAAAGCAGGAACAAAGGGGTTCCACGCGCCCCTCAAGCGGGATTGCATACCGCATGATTTACCGTTATTTGTTGTCGTTTTGTTTTCAACTAATTACCCGGGTTTCTGTGCGGTTTCGTGTGTGTTGTTGCTACCATAGCCATCTTCCTTTCTTGGCCACATGCTCTTTCGTGCCTCTTTCATAACGAAGGCAACGGTGTGACGGTGTGTTGGATATCTTGACAATGCTCAAGTATGCAAGCGCTCTCTCTCTCTCTCTCTGTCTCTTTCTTCCTGGCTGCTGCTCTCCGAGTCCGCTTGCAAGATCGAGCTCTATTGCTTGTGAAGTCTGCTGAGGGATGCGTTGTGCTTTCGAAGCCTGTGCTGACTCTCATCCCTAAACTTCCTAAGCTCCACCGGGCTTCTTCTGCACCAAAAGCCAGAGAGGACGCTTGTTTGAGGATCAGGTTCACGAGTTGCCAGCATCCTGACGTGGCAGGCCTGTTGAAGATTGGCTCCGCCCACCTGAGTACGGAGAGCTCCGAGAGCTCTGGCATCTACATCTCGGCACATAATCTCTCTCTCGAAGCTCGGAGGCAGATGTCATGCAATCGAGGGATCATCAGGGCGGCCCAAAGCTCTTCATTCTTTGTTTTAGCGCAAGGAAGAGGCGATGAATTGCACGAGTACCTCCTCTTGCAACTGGACTGAATTGCGAGCTTTGACAGCTGTGAGTTGAGACGGGAAGCTTTCTCATCCAGGCACATTCTATGCGAATGCCACCGCCACCCGAAGTGCTGGCTTCCTGTGCCCTTTGGGCACGGGTGCGGTGGATTTCCAAGCGTTGCATGATTTCGGCTGCCTGGTACCGCTGGCCTGCATTCGCCCGAGGTGCAGGGCGCGATGTTCCGGGCCCCATGGAGCTAGCTACCGTTTCGTGGGTGTGCCGAACTGCAAGTGAACTCTTCTGGGATAGCTTGTGAATTGTGCAATCTAGTCTTGGCGTGCCTGTTCCTGTGACTAAGACCTGCCAGGCATGCCAGCCGGGGGACACACAGGTTCTGAACGTGACGAGCAGGCTGCCGTGTCGAATGGCAGTGTTCTCGCAAGGAGGGAGGCGTTGTGATCTTGGCTTTGCTGTTCAACACTAAACCCTAAACCCTAATCTTACGCGGCGTGTCATAGCCCAGAATGACAGCGTCGCAGCGACGGAGATACCTTGCAGTCTCCAACGTAGCCTAACCCTAAACCCTAACCCTAAACACCAACCCACTTAAAAAAAGACAAAAAAAACTTAAACCCCTAAACCATAAACCCCCAAACCCCTAAACAACACTAAACCCTAAACCGCTAAACCGCTAAAGAACCCTAAACCCCAAACCCCTAAACAATTCTAAAACCCTGGATTTTGCAACAAATCTACAGCCACGGAGGTCGCAACTTTCATCGTAGAAGCCTCCCACTTCCAAGTGGCTTTCAAGCCCACTTCAGCAGTTTAGGTTTTTAGGGCTTCAGGCATAGAGATTTTGGAGTTTTGGGATTTAGGGTTTAGAGTTTAGAGGTTTAGAGTTTAGGGGGTGTGATGTTCCTTCCCATGGCTTCAGACTGTTTCGGCTCCAGGCCGTGCAGTCAGTGCCCGGAAGGGGCTCTCAAGTGCCTGGCCAAGGAGCTGAAGATGGAGTGCTCCGTCTGAGTTCGTTTAGGAGTTTGGGTTTTAGGGTTTAGAGTTTAGGGTTTTAAGGGTTTAGGGTGTAGGGTTTAGGGTTTAGGGTTTTAGAGTTTAGGGTTTTAAGGGTTTGAAGGGTTTTAAGGGTTTAGGGCTTTAAGGGTTTTAGTGTTTTAGGGTTTAGGGTTTTAGGGTGTAGGGTTTTAAGGTTTAGGGTTTTAGGGCTCAGGGTTTTAAGGGTTTAAAGGGCTTTAAGGGTTTTAAGGTTTGAAGGGTTTTAAGGGTTGTAAGGGTTTAGGGCCGCATTGACCAACTGGAAGCTCTTGGCTTCGGGGCCTCGGGTGTATGGAAGCCTGAACGGTTAGTTATACTCAGCCCCTCGTTCTACTTATACTCTAGAAGATATAACCCACAACCCTATTGTAACAGTTAAGGCCGCTACATGATACGAACCTGGACCCTAAGCAGATCGGTGGTCTTGAGGACGAAGCCATCCAGAGGATGTTCAGTCTTTGAGGCTTGAGGAAATCGCTGTTGGGGAATGTGGCCGTAATTCTGAAGTGGGGTTTAGGGTTTCGGACGCTCTTCTTGGATGTCTCTTTGAAGAGTAGGTTGAGAGAAGAAGGAATCTGAAGGGGACCATCGTAGTTGCACGCCAGAAAATCATCATGCAGGCCGACTGCAGCTGTAAACCCTATAGCCTGAACTCGACATCCGAAACCCTGAACCCCTGTAGGGCAGCAATGAACAGAAACGGAATCCCCTCATCGAAGAGCTGTTTCCTAAAAGGCCGTTTTATGTTCTGTTTGAGGGTGCACGATCCTACTCTCTGTAGTCTTTCACTGAAAGGCGCTTATGCGCCACACTGGCTTGCTCTTCCGTAACCCTTCGTTTCAAGACAAACGTAAGGTGTTACATCCAGGTACGGTTTTGTCCATGGTGTACTCCACCAAATAAGCACGAACTCGAAGCACATGACTCTCCTCGCTGCAATCCTTCATTTCACGGTGAAGAGGGCTTTCCTCTCTGTGGCTTTTCATGCAAGGGGGAAGATAAGTTGTCGCGACCGAGAACGGGTCAGTTTCTTGGACAGCTCTGAGCGAAACTTCATCTAACACATTCGTTTTCCGAGCAGTCTGTCAAAAGCAGGCACCAGAAGGCAGCATCAGTATGCCCAGCTTAAACCCTAAAACCCCCAATTCCCTAAATCCTGAGCCCTGAAACCCCAAACTGTTTGGGGAAGTGAACTGGGACCGGAACACCTGTGTGGCGACTGGTTGCTTGCACCTGCTTCGGGAGGCTTGGGGTTTGCCAGTTTGGGGTATACTGATGGTGTTGGTGGTTAATCCCTCTGTTGGTGTGAGCCTCCCGAACCCCGCCTCAGCCAGATTGGCATTCCAGAGACCTTTTGGGCTGACGGAAAAGAGGTGATAAAAAAAAAGAAACCCCAAACTCCTAAACCCTAAGCCCTAAACCTCCCTAAACCCCTAAGCCACTCAACCCTAAGCCCTAAAAACCTTAAATCCCTAAGCCCCTAAACCCTAAGCCCTAAAACCCTTAGATCTCTAAGTCCCCAAACCCTGAGACCTAAAACCCTGAGCCCTTAAATCCCTAAAGCCCAAACGTCAAGGCCCGGGCTAATGGTGGAGCTGGAGGACGTGAACCGCAGCTTCCACTGCCCGAACGAGGCTGGGAAGATGTCAAGGGAGCTTTGGGTTTAGGGGAGTTTAGGCGCACCCGAAATTCAGGGCGAAAATTGACATGTGAAATTTAGTGCGAAACCGTATATGCGAAATTAAGGCCGAAATCCTTTACGCGAAATTCAGGCCGAAACTCAGATACGCGAAATTTAGGCCGAAACCCTATACGCGAAATTTAGGCCGAAACCTTATACCCGAACTTTAGGCCGAAACTCTATACGCGAAATTTAGGCCGAAACCGAAAGCGCGAAATTTAGGCCGAAACCCTATACGCGAATCTTTGCGAAAACACCGATTAGCAGTCACCATTTGCAGAAAACCCGCATTAACGGTTTGCAGAAAACGCTGCGCAGTCACCATTTGCAGGAAAAGCAGCTAAGCAGTCATTGTTTGCAGAAGAAACTATAACATGTCATGGCAAAAGCTTGGTGTTGCGGAAAAGGCTTGAATGAATTAGGGTTTAAATAAACAAATACACACACACATATATATATATACATATCTATATATATATATATAGAGACATATATATAAGCAAGAGAGAGGTTTAGGATTTTGGGTCTAGGGTTTAGGATTTAGGGTTTAAGCTTAGGGTTTAGGATATTGAGAGGTTTAGGGGTTTAGGCTTTAATTAGGGTTAGGATTTAGGGTTTTAGGAGGTTTAGGGTTTGAGCCGGTTCCCTAGTCTACAAAGGTTTTGAGGTCAAGGGTTCCCTTTCAGGGATCCACAAGGGTTCTAATAGATTGGCCTTAATAGCTAGAATAGGGTTTTGGGGCCCATGATACCATAATACTAATAAGCCTAAGCCCTAAACCCTAAACCACCAAACTAGTCTTTATACTTATTTAGGCCCCTACATTACCAAGGCTCCATGTGGGCCTAGAGGTTTTGAGAGAAACTGAAAGCTCCTAAATGCAGAAGTTAGGCAGGAGCCGAAAGGCTGGAAGGAGCATTTATCTTAACATAATCCAAAGTTTTGCAATATGGATTTAATTAATCTCAAACAGTATTAGCAAAATATAAGATACTATGGATATAGTTCTTGCTGTATACTATTGATGTTTCGGGCTTCGGCCACGAGAGTGGTTGGATTGTGCACACTGTGCGCCATGAACCCGAGCACGAAGTGTCTATCGAGAAGTAGGGACCCTAAACCCAAAACCCTAACCCTCCACCGCACTCTATGTGGCTGAACCAAGCCCTACATGTAAGAAGTCAAGACATCCATCCCTGAGGCCGCTTGCCCTGGGGGCGATGTATCTCAGGGAAGGGTTCACAAGGCAATGTGCCAAGACGGCTGCCTGAGCTGCAAGGAGTTCATGGTCGAATTTGGGGTTTGGGTTTCAGGTCCTGACAGTAGGCGCTTCGGGCTTGGAAGCTCTCTTCGAACTCAGGCGACTGGTCAGTTGGCTTTGCCCTTTGAGAACCCTAAACCCTAAACCCTGAACCTAAGATGTGCACAGATGCCATGAAGAAGTCTTCATCTCAAGATCGCAAGGCTATCGGGGCCAAGGCTGCACGAGCTGCAGAGATGAGTATGCCATTGCGGACAGCAGTGTGTTCTCGTGCTCCTTGCCCCACCTGAGCAATCAAGCGGTTTAGGGTTTAGGGCTACTGTCTGAGCCCTGCAGCCATGGTGCGATGCTCCCTACATTGACATATCGAGTCACAAACCAAGTAGTGTCTAGGGTTTAGGGCTGCAGGGTTCTCACGGAGAGTCTACTTTGCCGAGCTGTGCCTGATCAGTCATGCTGCTTGTTCAAGCTCACCGCACCCGTTCCAAACCGACACTTCTCGCATTTGAAGCTCCAACTGTGTCTTGAAAGACCATATCAACATGCTAAACAAACGACCGTGTTCCGTGAGGCAACCCCTAAACTGCAAACCCTTCGTAGTCCTGCAACATGCTGCCAAGGCACCGCCTGCAGCAAAGACCGGCGTGTGCAGGCTGAACATTCTCCGGGTGTCGAATATATGGGCTTATTAAGGGTTCCTTTAAAGGGTTTAGGGTATTGGGTTCAGGGTTTAGGGTTTAGGGGCCTGAATAATTTCCTATACTATTTCGGGGGTTTCTTATTTTTCATAGTTGTTACACCTCGGTTCGATCGGTTTGCGGTTGTTTGCGATTGTATGCGGTACAGTATTGCTAGGTATTGCTGTTGGCGGTGCGGTGCGGTTCGATACCAGTCCTCCAGCCCTCCATCCCTCCAAACCTCTCCAACCCTCCAGCCCTCCAGACCTCCAACCCTCCAGCCCTCCTGGAGGGTTGGTTGCAGGGCTGGAGGGTTGGAGAGGGGAGGGTTGGAAGGTTAGAGGGTTGGATCCGGACGGTTGGAGCGTTGGAGGTGGGGTATTGCGATGCGGTGTCAATTTCTGCGATGTTGTTTTCTGCGGTGGGGATACGATTCGGTGACGATGCCTCGTGTTGTGTACCGTTGCAACGGCCATGATCACAGTTACTGTATAATATTCCCCAAAGCCCCAGTCTAATTAGTAGGGCCCCTATATTTGGACGTCTTGACACGGGAAGGCACCGCATTTTTGCCTTCGTGGCCCTCCCGGGAAATCACATAGCTAGAGGTGTTGATCCCACATCATCCCCACATGCCAAGTCAGAAGCCTTTCTTGCATGCCTGGCCCGGCCCAGGGCAACCTGCAACGGAGTAAACCTAAACCCTAAACCCTAAACCCTACACCCTAAACCCTACACC